CGCCTTTACCAACTGTGCTGCTATATCATTCGTGTATAAAATAAAAACATTAAACTATAATGAAAAACAAGGACAACTGCTGAGTTGTCAAACATGCGCCATCAAGTGAGGTCTATGTATTTCAAACAAACCAATCATGCGCAAAGAGAGAGAGAGAGAGTCATTCTAATTTAGCCAATGGGATGTTGTCTTCCTGCCACGCCAGCTGGTTGACTTAAGGCCGGCCAGTCCAACCACCGGAGCCGGTGGTTTCCACCGTCTTCTCCGGTGGGTCACCTGAAAAAATCAGTCAAAAGGAAAAACAAATAATGTAACCTGCCTTAAAAAAGCCTCCTGATCATGATTATGGCCTATAAATTTACTAACTCCTCACATATCATTGGGTTCGAGCTTGAAACCCTAACAACGGTCAATCATGGCATAATGTGATCTTAGGCATTAGCTTCACATGTGATACGTTAATGCGCACACAAATATCATCAATAATACAAATACATGCTTAGTATGGATTTAAATAACGCGTATTGAGAGTTTGACATCAAGAAAAAGTTACCAATCAGAGAGATACTGTGAGGGAGTTCTGGTGTGTGTTTGGCTTGGACAACAGTTGAAATGATCTCCTGGGAACGTCAGGAGTTGAATGATATGGTTAGTTTGGCACGAGGGGAGCTGGAGCTGTATGTTTGAATTTGGACAATTTATGTGATTTTTGCAAAAAAATTGTATGGATTCTTGAAGCTGTGTCCTCGTGTCCTTTCAAGCTTGTATGGCCCTATATTTATAGAGGAGTGAGGAGAGTAGTCTAGCATGGAAAGAATCAAGTATTAACTTATGGTTTTAAAACAAAAATCACAATTTGAAAAAACTATCCATTTTTGTGTGATTCTTGACATATTTGATTGGTACACGAACCTGGACACATTAGCCCAAATTATGGGCCCAAGGCTGACCCAACACATTAGCCCAAATGAGGAACATTCTGATTTTGATTAACCAACTGATTTCCACAACTTGTAAACGGCTGCTGGTGAGAACTTTCTGGGAGTATAGGTTTTGGATGATGTGATTCAGGTCGTGAGATTGAACTTTGAAGAGGAGAAGGCGTAACCCTATTCTCTGTAGCAGTTGGCATTGGATTGACTTGCACGCTCGGACCTTCGGGAGTGAAGAGAATTGTCCCTGTATCAAGAAAATCTTGGACTTGATGCTTAAAATCTACGCAATCTTTATTATCATTGACCAAGTGCCCCAGAATGAAATTCACACCCAACAGTATCGTTAAAGCTATGAGGGAGCTTTTCGTACGTAGTGAAGATTCAAAGTTTAACCAAATGAAATCCTAGCAGGCGAGGAAGCAATTATGCATACAACATTGGAATAAGATCAAATTATCATTTAGGCTACTTTAGCCTCTGTTGACGGACTTTACCCTTTGGGTTCTCTTAGGAAACGACAACTGGTTGTAGATGGGAAGATCCTGGAATGCAAGGTTGTGGAGGAGATATTCCCTGAGTTAAAAGAGTCCCCAGATTATGGGGAGGAATGGTAACTCCTATTATAGCCGACATAAAACCATCTTCTTTCTTCAACACTGTCCCAAAAATTTCCATAACCAAACTCAATTGAGCCTTCAACTGAGTGTTCTCTTCTTTCAAGAGTTCTTTCATCTCATCCAATTCCCCACGAAGTTGTTCCATACCTTGAATCTGATCACGGAACGGCGAGAAGTCGAGATTTTCAGTTTTGAAAAGAAAATACCGAGTCTGAATAAAGATTCCCCATTCTAAGTACTTTCTGAGTACCTGCTATGGATGCATGAAGATGCATGAGGTGAATGAGCGGATGCAATGCAATGTTCAAACATTTTTTTTGCATACAATCTTTCACATTTCCTTTTTTTGTGTGTAAAATAAACATGCTATGATATAAGGTGCAATAACATAGGTTCAAAAGTTCAGCATATAAACTGTACAATCCTCTGGATAAATGCTGTATAAATCTACTGAATAATATGGGTATCATAGGATCAAAGGTTCGAAACCAATTTCAGAATACAATGGGACCAAATACCAGGAATAACTGTTGTATAATCTCTGGCCAAGTTGAATATATCAAGATTAATGGTCCAGAACATAACCAAATAACCATAGTCACCGAAAGAACACAACGGTTACCATCATAACATAGTCACCACCTGTACCTGTAATAATCAAGTCCCTCCCCACTCACGTGTAAAGACTAGGTCAGGGTAGGTCAAAGGTAACTCAAAATCATGGGTCTTCCTGAAAGTACTACCGCCTTACCCACAGACGTGGGTGTCAATAGTAATTCATTTGAACCTCATCCGAACATGGTATATGACATGACTGCACTAATCGGATCATGTCCTATAGCCATCATGCCCCCACTCTATTCCTAGTGTCCTATTGCACTTTGGCCTAGGTACTGGGCCTTTTACCTCAATAGTAACACCCACCCAACATGGAAAACCAGAATCCAGCACAACAGATAACCAATATGGAAATCAATAAAATGCAATGCAAACATATGCTCAGATAAACATATACAAATGAATAAAATGGAAGCATAAAAATAAAAACCCAAAGAAAAGAAAACAAGAGCTAGGAGCGACTCTGGGATGGACCAGCAATAGGTCAACCTGTCCCCAGTGAAGTCTCCAGCTGAAACAACTGGCTGAACAATCAACTGATAATGAAATCAATGAAGTCACCATCGAATTTTTTTTATCCCACAAGAAGGGAAAGGTAAACATCGAGTAAACCCGAGAAGGGTGAAATAAAGGTCGAACGACCAAGAGATACGGGTAAGGGAGTCTATTACGCGAGGGGAAGGTATTATCACCCCACACCCCCATAGTACTCTACGGTATCCACTCTTGTTGTTCTAATTAAAGAGTGTGTAAGAATCTATATCTAAGTTGTACAAGGAATGCATGCAAAAAGAAAGAGAAAATAATGTAGGGAAAACAAAAGTTGTGCTCGCTCGGGCCCTACCCCAATGCCTATGTATCCCTTTTAAGGAATCAGAGCAGCCGTAGTTTGGCTTCAAAAGTTTTTGTTGGTTTGTATTTTTTAATGAACAATATTAATTTTGCCTTCTGTCGCAGCTCGACCTTTAGAGACTTACGCGTCAGCACATAAGTGAATTAACATGTTCTTTTGAAAAAGTTTTCGAAAGAAAAGCCCGAAGGCAAAAAGAGTTTGTGTTGGTTGGTGTTTTTGCTGCAGATAACATCTAGTTAATATCAAGAGGAGATACTATCCATTTATCTACTTATTCATGAAATAAGTATTTGAGACTTGAACCACACCAAGGCTTAGAATGGAAGAACGATAAGATCGAGAAGAACCCCGCTTATCATTTCACATGCTCAACAAAAGTATGACTCTCATCAGTAATCTTTAAGTGTTTTGAAGTTTGCAAGAAAAAGAAGTTTTTATTTTAATTCAAATGCAAAAGGAGAAAGAAAAGTCTAAGGGGAGACTAACCTAAATCTATCTCTAATGTTATCATACAATGATTGATCCTAAAGTTGAGCTTTGAAGGGAAATCTCTACCCTAAGTTGACATGCTTGGTTAACAATCCTAATGACTATCTCAACTCATCATCTATAGATGAATCAAGAAGTCCTAAAGGAGAATAGAAAAGGTCTATCACCTAAAACCATGTCTATCTCGAATTATCATCTATAGTTGAATCGAGAGCTCCTAAGGGAACATGCCGAGAGTATACAATCTCAAAACATGCACACAAAGATGATATCAAACAAGCAAACCAATAAGCTCAAGAGAGTTAGATCAAGAGAGCATACCTAGAGAGATCCTATCTAAGCTAGTATACCAAAGAAAGTCTAACAAAAGCTATCATACGAGGAACATGCCATGAGAGCGAAGTCATGATCTCAATTCTAAATTGAGTGGCCCATCGATCAACAAGAAATCAAGGAAAGCGATAAAATCCTATAGGGAGCATGCACTGATAAAGAAGTCGTGATCTCAATTTCTAAATTGAGTGACTCATCGATCAAACACCAAGGAGACAAACACCAACACAACACATATAGAAAATGAAGTGTGGAATTCCTTCTACAGGTCTTTTAAACAGCGACCTCGAGCGCACGCTCTTTATTTCCTACTTCTCATAATATCTAGAAAGCAGTAAAGTGCGAAGTGTGATAAACAAGAGAAAATACCAAACGTATACCAATCCGTAGTAAAGCGTATAAAAACAAAGAAATCCAGAAAACTTCGAGTAAGCTTCACCAAGCAAAGAAAAGAGTCAGAAATCAAGTGCTTGGAATAAGCGTCAAAACATCATCAATGTGAAAATAAATCACAATTGAAATCTCAAGCGCATCCACATATCGCACAATAAACCCGCGTAAGACTCAAATCTCAACAAGCAGAGGTGAATTACCAATCTCAAATATAGTTAAATAATCGGGATTTAATTCCTAAAATCACATAAAAAAACTAACAAATTTTTATATTTGACTTTATTATTTTTATCATGTAAAATAAAAAATTTCAAGCAAATCTAAACAATTCACAAAATTATTTAAAAGAAAATACTAAAAGAATAAACTCAGGGGGTGTAATCTGTAAGCAGGAGGTATGCTGAAGTAAACTGATGCTAGGCCCAAAAATATGATCCATGGCATTGTTTTTGTTGCAAAGTAATAGGCCATCAACAAAAACAAACGGTAAATGGACTTAGTAAGGATGTGTAACCCAAAAATTTCACCAAGGGGCCCAGGAAAGGGACCATTCGGTCCACCACCACAACATAACTTGATCGAGATTTTTTTATTCAACACCTTTATTGTTAATCGCTTATTTACTAAAATTTAAATAACAAAGTAACAGGAAATGATAACATGAAATGGTGCGTTCCAGTTGGATTAGGGTTGAAAACTCCGACTGTTAAGTTTCCCAATATCTCAATCTTCTTCCTCTTTGAAACTAAACCAGCGTGTGGCTCACCTCCTTCTCGCTGCTCTCAATCTCTCTGTGGCGGTGCAACTCCCTCCATATATCTTTGTCTCAACTACTGACGGCCGGACCTTAACTCTCGCCAAAATTTCGTCCTCTCTCTTTCTTCGATGGAATTCCGCCGATTCGAACCTCTCCGGTGGTTCTCGTCTCGAAGGAGCTTCTGTCTTTGTTCTTCTCTTTAACCCGTCTTCTCTGTGGTCCTCATTTCTGATTCTTAACCCCATCCTCATTCTATCGTGGCGATTTTTCTCTTCGATTCAAACAATAGACACGGAAATAGTGCACATGACGAGGAAGAGGAAATGCTTACCAGCGGCGAAGACGAGAGATATCAAACAAGTAAGCTTTTTTGTTCTTTGCTTCTGCCGATTACGATTTCATTTCTTCACTCTTATATTTTTTCTTTCTGTACGTTTTGTTTCCACATGTTTTGTTGTGTACGATCGAAACAGTGACATTGTTGTGGTGCATTTTATTGCAGAACTATCATTGAAGAAGATGGAAGATAAAGAAGATGAAGATTTAATGATAGTGATGATTCTGAAGTAAGTAGAAGAATTGATGGTAGAGAGATGAGATATTTCTGAGATTTTGTTGTTGTGATTCTCCTAGTAATTGAAGAATGGATGAAGATGATGTTGTAATTCTCCAGAAGAATGATGAATAGATGAAGATGCAGAAATGATGCAGGTTAAGGATGATAATTGCAGAGAAAAGTTTGGCGGATTGAATCAGAGAGAGAGAGAGAGAGTAATTTTCTGTGGTTTTCTTGGTGGTGATGGAGAAGGACGCAAAGAGAAGGTGAGAGTTTTGTTATGTGATTCTTTTGAATTGGAGAGTGGATCCCTATCAAAGGTGAGTTTTTTCTATTTTTATAATTCTGTTGCTGCTGTTAGGAAACGGTTAGAAATATGGGAAGTTAGATTAGAAAAGTTAGTTAGAGGTTGTTATGAAATCAGTTAGGAGTATTTAGATTGTTTGTCAATTATTTCTACCGTTAGTTAGTTTTGAATAGGGAGAAGAAATTGGTTAGGGGCTCGAAAATCGATTAGAGATTCTGTTAAACTGTTAGTAGTTAGTTATGGACTGCAAATTCGTTGTTAGTAGTTAGTTATGGACTGCAAATTCGTTGGTTCTGCTAAGAAGAGATTCTGTTAAAGTAGTTGCAGTTAGGAAGTCAAAAATCTGTTAGAAAAATAGCTAGTTATTTTCCTGTTAGAAGCTAGCAGAAATTGAAGGCCGTTAGGTTTGTTTGCTTTGAAAATCGTTATTTTGTAAAAAAGACTGACATCGAGTTAATTTGAAAACCGTTATGGCAAAGTTAGTTGAACGGTTGTGAATCTGTTTGGACTAGGTTAGAGGAAATTTTATTTGAAATTCCGTTAAGTGTTAATTGAAGTGCATTTCCATGGTTAAGATTAAAACAGTTAGAAGTCAGTAAAAGCGGTTAGAAAATTATTTTAGGTCAACTAATATGGTTAGTATATGGAACCTTCTAAAACTGATATTGTTTTTATGATGTGCAGGGCCGCAACTGCGAAGGCTTCGTTAATCAATTTGTGAAATCTCCAACCCTGCTTTGGAGATAGTCTTGGAATAGCAATGGCTGGAGCTGTTGTAAATGACTCGGTTCCTGAACAACATTATCTTATCCAGTGATTTTTGCAAAGACCTGAAGCCCAAGCTTTAATGCCTTCTCTCCACTCATCAAAACTAATGATGCAGCACCATCACTTATGCTAGAAGTATTGCCAGCAGTAACAAAACCTCCAGTTTCCTTGAAGCTTGGCCTAAGTTTGCGTAACTTTGCACATGGCTGCAACATGATGAAATCTTGGCGTAGGCACGACATATTTTCACAAAGATGGTTGGAGTTTGAAACTTGGCATGAAATGGAATGGGTTTAGATTTAGGAATGTAATTTTGGTGTAAATTTTGTCTTATGCTGTAGTGATATATTGGCGATGGAAGTTGTAAATCACTTTCAAGTAATGGAACAATTCCTCCTCATTTTGTGCAGATTCAAAATTATATTTCAAATCTCTTTCACTGATCTTACTTTGAAGTTCTTGAAAAGAGAATTCAATTGGAACTTGAGTGCCTTTGAATAAATCTCAAGATTTGTATGAAAACCCTGGTCTCAAATGTAATTTTTGAAGCAAATTAAGTGGTTCCATGGAATTTCCATACTCTTCCTTGAATTTCATCTTGAATAGGCCTTGAGAAGTCTTGTTATTTTTCATAATGTATTCCTTATACTTGCCATGCCACTATTTATCTTTTCATATTTGAATCCATAACCATTATGAGGTGAGTCCATCCAAACGACATGACATGCTCAATCTTTGATAAAACTCTAATTAACACTTGAATCCCAAATTCATCATAAATTGCACCCTAATCCAAAGTTGATTGCAGAATGTACACCAAATCAAGATTGGAGGTGAATTCATATTATTTCTTGCCATGTGATAGTTCTTAACAAAACTTCACCTCAATTGATGAACACCACATAAGAGTAGATGTTCCGATTCCAAAACCAGGTATGCTAGTTCATAATTTTGAGTTTTTAGAAGGAACCCCCAGAATCACGACTTTGTGAAACAAGTAGCTGGAATAGGACCTTAGATAAGATTCAAGATAACTATAAGATTTAAGGCAAAATACCCTTTTTAGTCCTTTAAGTTTACCCCAAGGTCCATTTTGGTCCTTTATCTAAAAAAAGTGTCAAACTGGTCCTATAATTCTTTCAAAAGGACCACGTTTGTCCTTTCCATCCACTATGTTAGTCATGTTTAATGGCAGCGCTTATGTGGCATTACACGTGTGTTTAGAAAAATTGCATGTGGTAATTCCACTTACAAGTCAGTTTGACACTCATCAGTTTCATTTTGAAACAAAGATCAAAACATTTTTCTATTTTTGTTGGCAATTCCACAACTGAGAAGACTGAGAAGGTGAAACGCGAGCGAGCAGAACGTGAGCGAAGACAAATTCCTCATTCAAAACATTGCATGTTTCCTTGAAGGTGAAACCAGACTTCTCATCAGAGGTAAGTTTCTGCAATAATTCTATTTTCATAGTTAGGGTTTCCTTGAAATTCGTCTCCCTTCTCTGAAATTCATCTCTCTATTTAGGGCATTGTGTGTAATGGAGGAAATTCTTAATATTACGATACACCACAGTGGTCAATTTGTTAGTGAGGACCTGGGTGTGTACGAAGGAGGTGAGATTGCTGAATTGAGAGTAGATGCTGATATGTGGGGTTATTTTGAGTTATTGGGTGCTATTAAGGAACTAGGTTACCCAGCCATAGAGAAGATATACTATAGGGATCCAACTACTGGAATGAATCTGTTGTTTGATGACAAAGGGGCCTTAGAGATTGCTGATCTATATAGGGTTCATTTAAGTGTTGAAGTCTTTATTCAACACCCATTGTCACAACCTGAGTATGTTGATGAGAGTGAAGTTATTTTAGATGAGACACCCCTGAATGTAATGGAAGAGGATGCAGTTAGACAAAATGAGGTAAGTGAGGATGCAGTTAGACATAATGAGGTAAGTGAGGATGCAGTTAGACAAAATGAGGTAAGTGAGGATGCAATTAGACAAAATGAGGTAAGTGAGGATGCAGTTAGACAAAATGAGGTAAGTGAGGATGCAGTTAGACAAAATGAGGTAAGTGAGGATACAGTTAGACAAAATGAGGTAAGTGAGGATGTAGTTAGACAAAATGAGGTAAGTGAGGATGCTGTTGGACAGAAGGAGGCAAGTGAAGATGTTGTTATACAAAAGGAGGCAAGTGAAGATGCTGTTGGATAGAAGGAGGCAAGTGAAGATGTTGTTATATAGAATGAGGCAAGTGAAGATGATGTTGGACAGAAGGAGGCAAGTGAAAATGCTGTTGGACAGAATGATGATGATAGTTCTGATGATGATAGCTCTGATGTTAGTAGCTTCAAGTATGATAGTGCAAAGGAGGTTGTATTTGATGATGAAACTGATGAGTGTGATACTGACTTGGAAGAGGAAGAAGGTAAGGATGATTTAACTGATGAGTGTGAAACTGAAGCAAATAAAGAAGATAGTAAAGGAAGTGATAATGAAAGTGAGGATCTTGTAAGTGAATGTGATAGTGAAGATAGCAATACTACCAAGAGAAAGAAGTATCCCATTTTCAAGCTTCTAAAGGATATGTCCAATTACAAATGGGAAATGGGTACATATTTTAGTACAAAAGAAGATATCAAGGAAGCAGTTACCTCTTATGCAGTCCAATCTGGCAGAAATTTAAAGTACATCAAAAATGACAAGATAAGGGTTAGGGTTAGGTGTAAGGATGGATGTGAATGGGAAGGTTATTGGGCTAAGTTGGATGTTGAGGATACTTGCAACTAAGAAAGGTGGTAGACACCCATAGTTGCAGTAGAGAATATAATGTGAAGTTGTTGAAGACTAAATGGCTTAGCAAGAGGTTGCAGAATGCACTTAAAACCAACCCTAGAATGAAGATTAATGACATTAAGGAAAAGGTGCAGAAGAAGTGGAATGTGGGGGTCAACAAAACCAAGGGTATAAGGGCTAGGTTTGCAGCAAGAGACATGGTTGATGGTTCATTCTTAGGGGATTATACAAGGATTTATGACTATGCACATGAGTTGTTAAGATCTAACCCAGGGTCAACTGTGAAAGTACATGTCCAACCAGCTCAAGAAGGTAGTGGTGTTCAGAAATTACACTTCAAAAGGATTTACATATGCTTGGCAGCTTGTAAGGAAAGCTTCAGGTTAAGTAGACATTTCATAGGGCTTGATGGATGTTTTTTGAAAGGGATTTGTGGAGGTTAAATCCTGTCAGCCATAGGCAGAGATCCCAATGATCAAATGCTACCAATAGCATATGCATTAGTGGAGAGTGAAAACAAGGAAAGTTGGACATGGTTCTTGGAGCTGCTTATTGGTGATCTAGGTGGAAGAGAAGAGTGTCTCACATACACTTTTATTTCTGATCAACAAAAGGTATGACTCTATTGTTAATTCTCAATTGATTAGTATTTTTAATAATTAAATTCTCATGTTTATCCTGGTATTCTCATGTTTAATAATTAAATTCTATACATATCATGACCCAGGGATTATTGCCTGCAATGGAGGAACTGCTGCCTACAGTTGAACAAAGATTCTGTGTTAGGCATCTCTACAACAACTTTAGGAAGAGATTTCCAGGAAAAAAACTAAAGGAAATTATATGGAAGGCATCCAAATCAATTTACTACCAAGCTTGGGAAAGAGAGATGAAAGTTATGAAACATATCAATGGAGAAGCATACAAGCACATGATGTCTACCCCTCCAAGGTTTTGGAGCAGATCATACTTCAAGACTCATAACAAATGCGATGCAGTTCTCAATAATATGTCAGAATCCTTTAATAGTGTTATTTTGGAGTCAAGGGCCAAGCCATTAATAACCATGATGGAAGAAATTAGGATATACATGATGGAGAGATGGGCTACAAACAGGATGAGGTTTCAGAAATTGACAGATGTAGAAGTGTTGCCAAACATTATGAAAAAGGTTGAGAAAACAAGTTCATTCACAAACATGTGGCTTCCCAGGTAAAATTATTAAAACAAGCATTTTTTGTGTTAGAATGTCTGACTTTGGAATGTCCATTTGATGTCTTAATTTGGAATGTCCATTTTTCTGTGTTAGGATGTCTGATGAGCATATGTTTGAAGTGAGGCATCTGGAAAATTCTGCTGAAAAATTCACTGTAAACTTGAAGGAAAAAATCTGTTCATGCAGAAGATGGGAGCTAACAGGCCTACCATGTGTTCATTCACTTGCAGCAATCAAGAATAGGAACCATAGGATTGATGAATACATTCCTGATTATTACAGGAAATCTAGATATTTGCAAGTGTACAAACCTGTCATATTCCCTGTTAATGGCTCAAACCTATGGGTTACAACTGAGTACCCTGATGTTATGCCACCCAAATTCAGGAAAATGCCTGGAAGGCCAAAGAAAAGGAGGAATTTAGAGCAAGGTGAGCTAGATGGTACTGATAAAAAGATGAGAAGAACGAGATTCATTATAAAGTGTAGCAGGTGTAAGCAGGTAGATCACAACAAGCTTACTTGTAAGGTGCCTTCTACTAGTCAGACAACTACTACACAAGTACCACATGCAGCTCAACCATCTGTACCATAAGCACCATCTGTACCACAAGTACCAGTGCCTTCTCAACCATCTCAAGCATCTGTACCAGTGGCATCTGTACCAGTGGCATCTGTACCAGTGGCATCTGTACCAGTGGCATCTCAAGCATCTAAGTCAGTTCCTGGTCAAGCTTCTCATCCATCTCAATCTAAATCATCCAAAAAGTTGTCAGTTAGAAGGCCAAATGCACCATTTGTCCCACCAGGTCCAACAACGAGGTTAAAGGCATCAAGAACTGTTGTAGGTCCAACAACAAGAAGGACAACACCAACTAAAAGAGCAGCACCAAAGTGGAAACTTTAGTTTACTTTTATGTCTGTTTTGGATTAGGATTGGACCTATAGTTGTTATGTTGTTTTGTTAACTTGTAATATTAGAATTGGTTATGTTAAGTTGTTTTGATCATGTAATATCAAGCTGTTTTATTTTTTTTTGACCTGTAATATCCGGCTATTTTGATTGGACCTGTAATATCAGGTTCTTTTGTATGCAACTTAGTGGTATCCACCACCTTATAATTATATGTTGTTACCTATCTTCAATTGCTACAGTATGTTACATTGATCAAAATGCTACTAGTTACAGTATGTTACATTATGTTTTACATTGATACAAAAATGCTACT